GGAAGCTTCAGTTGCTTGGAGCCGATGATCTGCGAACAACTCCTGGGCCAGGCTCTCCGAGAATAGCGTAACTTGAGACCCTGTGTCAACCAAACAGTCTATCGTGACTCCATTAGCTTGAACCTCCACGGTAGGGCAATGTCCCACCCAGTCATCTCGTGCAACAGGAACAGAAAGAGGGTCACGCAAAGGGGTCCCGGCCACTTGACCCACAGTGGCCGGTGGAACTAAAAAACCCCTTGAGAACCCCGACGAAGCCCACACTGGCGACTGATATGTCCAGGATCTCCACAATTTATACAAATGGGCCTTCCTTGGTCGTCCCACTGGAACCGGGGGCCCACAGGACGTAGGGGGCGGCGCAGAGGACCTCGCCCTTCCTCTGAATACGACCTCTCTCGCCCCACTGCTCCGCCTTCAACTCGCCCTCGACGAAGCTCACCCAGCAGGTTCCGGGATAATTCCGCCATCTGTCCCTTGACATCCTCCAACAGTTCGGCCCTCAGTTTCTGTTTCCAATCGCTCGGTTCGACAGGCGCAGGTCCACTGGCACTACTTGCTGCCACACAGACTGGTGTGCGAGTTACCTCTCCCTGGTCCAGTTCTAACGCCAAGGCCTCTTGTCGCAGAGCCTCAAAGGTCATAGTGGGGTCTCGTCGAAGCTGGAGTCGTATGCCCTGACGTACTGGCCCTTCACGCAGCCCCAAGACGAATTGATCTCGTAACAAGTCATCCCCTTCACCCAGTCCATGGTCCGGTCGCCCCTTCAGCCAGCCAAACTGCTCCCGCAACTTCAAGGAGTATGCCCGAAGTGTCTGCGTAGGCCCCTGTTTATAGTTAAAGAACTGGGCACGAAGAGTGGCCACTGGGGTGGAGTCTCCATATAATCCGAACAAGAAATCGAAGATAGTTTTTGCGGTAGCACGTGTGGCTTCCGATGCAGCCAGAACTTCCCTTTTGGCTTCTCCTTCCAGCGACCCCAACACAAACTGTACTCTCTGTGCTGCACTCAGTCCCTGTAGTCCAGCCAGATACTCCGTCTGCGCCTTCCAATCCTGTAAGCCTAACTCCGATCCCGGTCCTCCATAGCGCTGCGCCCAGGGAGCTCCCATGAAGATCGGCATGACTTGAGGACGAGCCGCAGGTGCCTCTTCGTCCGCCATCGCGTACCTGTGGCCGCTACAACTCACGGTGTGTACCCTGCCGACTACGCCACTTTTGATGTCACAGGTCGAGGGGAGGAACGCTCGGGTGACCAACCACCCCCCCTCTAACTGAGTCACCACCGTGAGGAGCCGACACCACAGGCACACAACAGAGGACCCGGAGACAGAGATAAATTTCAAAGGAGTAACAATCTTTATTAAGCCAAAGGTTTCTCACAGTTCAAGAGACTCTCGTCGATGTATGATGATGGAGCAGGGGGTTGAAGCTTACTTCTCCCCAGCGGTGCTGCAGACTTCCAGACCCAAGAGAAAGTATGTCAGGTAAGGATTCTTCACGGTACAAAGTACTCTCGTTGGTGCACAGTAATGAAGCAGTGGATTAGAAGCTTACTCTTCCCCAGCGGTGCTGCAGACTTCCAGACTCAGACAGTAAGTATGGCGGGTAAGGATTCTTCACAGTACAGAGTACTCTCGTTGGTGCACGATAATAAAGCAGTGGATTAAAAGCTTACTTTTCCCCCAGCGGTGCTGCAGACTTCCAGACTCAGACAGTAAGTATGGCAGGTAAGGATTCTTCACAGTACAGAGTACTCTCGTTGGTGCACGATAATAAAGCAGTGGATTAAAAGCTTACTTTTCCCCCAGCGGTGCTGCAGACTTCCAGACTCAGACAGTAAGTATGGCAGGTAAGGATTCTTCACAGTACAGAGTACTCTCGTTGGTGCACGATAATAAAGCAGTGGATTAAACGCTTACTTTATCAGCGTTGCTGTATACTTCTGGGCTCAAACAGTAAGTAGAACAGGTGAGGATATTCACAGTACACAGTACTCTCTCTTCAGTTCACAATAGGGAGCAGTGAGTCATAAGGTTACTTTACCAGTGGTGCTGTATGCTTCTGGGCTCAAACAGCAAGTAGAACAGGTGTGGATCTTCACAGTACAAAGTACTCTCTCCTCAGTTCACAGTAGGGCGACAGTGGGTTAAACGATTACTTTATCAGCGTTGCTGTATACTTCTGGGCTCAAACAGTAAGTAGAACAGGTGAGGATAGTCACAGTACACAGTACTCTCTCTTCAGTTCACAATAGGGGGACAGTGAGTCATAAAGTTACTTTACCAGTGGTGCTGTATGCTTCTGGGCTCAAACAGCAAGTAGAACAGGTGTGGATCTTCACAGTACAAAGTACTCTCTCCTCAGTTCACAGTAGGGCGACAGTGGGTTAAACGATTACTTTATCAGCGTTGCTGTATACTTCTGGGCTCAAACAGTAAGTAGAACAGGTGAGGATAGTCACAGTACACAGTACTCTCTCTTCAGTTCACAATAGGGAGACAGTGAGTCATAAGGTTACTTTACCAGTGGTGCTGTATGCTTCTGGGCTCAAACAGCAAGTAGAACAGGTGTGGATCTTCACAGTACAAAGTATTCTCTCCTCAGTTCACAGTAGGGCGACAGTGGGTTAAACGATTACTTTATCAGCGTTGCTGTATACTTCTGGGCTCAAACAGTAAGTAGAACAGGTGAGGATAGTCACAGTACACAGTACTCTCTCTTCAGTTCACAATAGGGAGACAGTGAGTCATAAGGTTACTTTACCAGTGGTGCTGTATGCTTCTAGGCTCAAACAGCAAGTAGAACAGGTGGGGATCTTCACAGTACAAAGTACTCTCTCTTCAGTTCACTGTATCACTCTGGGCTTCTGACGGGGGCAGATATAATAACCTTCCACGAACGTGTAAGCATGGATGGGGGCCACTTCTCAACAAAGACACAGCACACTTGTGTTCACTTCAATTCCACAGCAATAAATCAATGTGTATCAATAAGGCAAAAGCACTGCAATTCACTCACACGATAGGGTTGGACAGAGGCCCCACTCCGGCCGTTGCGCTCGTTTACAGGGTTTTCACTTTTAATTCCTCCTCATCACACTCTGAAACACATAGCTCCTCCAACAGTCAGATCCACATTCACTGTATCCTCTTCAAGTGGTTCAAATGTTCATAAGATGAAAACAATTCACTTATCTTTCCTCTCTCCTTCCACAGCACAGATCCAGCCCTAGCTCGGCCCAGCAGTCTTCCCACAAACGATCAATCTGACCCAGCAAACTCGAATGGGCGATCTCCACACTCCAACGATTTTTCCAAGGAAGCCTGTATCCAGCACTGCCCAGAGTCAACCCTTTGGAATCTTGACACACTGTACACCCACCAACCGCACTGCAAACACTCTCTAAATGCTCCTTTTATATTGTGGCTTATGAAACAGGAAGCCTGTGTGAGCGCCGCTCCTCTCTCTCTCACACCTGCAATGCATTAGCGCTAATCAGTACGGGCATGTTTCCATCACACCCGGAACCGTAGTGGAGTGTTGCACCCAATACGTTCCCCTAGGAAACTCAGGACTCTCAAGAAGGTTCCGTTTACTGAGCGATTTTGTCACCCGTGACATCCCCCCTTGCCAATCGGTTCCAGTCCCTGGAACGGGCGTCCCTCAATTCCATTCGCCGTACCTCTCAGGTGGTTGTCCTCGGGTGTTCCGTTGAGATCGTCGGGGTGGCGAGGGCAGAGCCGCTCTGGCTTCAACCTCAGGGTCCCTCGGGACCACAGCCCACCCTATCATAGGTGCCTCTAAGGCGGGTGGTGCACTTGGAGCCTCAGCCGCTAGTTGCGGGTAGTTCGGGCAGGGACGGAGCAGGTTTCGATGGAGCACCCGTATTGGTCCGGGCTTCCCTTCGGGCCGTACAGAGTAGACGGGGGCATCAGGCCCTTGTCGTTGTTCCACCACATATGGCGTCGACTCCCAGCGGGCACTGAGCTTCCCTTTCCCTGGGCGCCGGTTGTCCCATACCAGCACTCGCTCCCCAGGTAACAAAGGGGCCTCTCGGGCAGTCCGGTCGTATAGTCTCTTATTCTTGGCGGCTGCTGTACTCAGATGGTCTGAGACTCGTCGGTAGGCATTGAGCAGTTGGTGGTGGTGCCGATTTACCCAGTCAGTGGTACTATACCCTCTTTCCACAGCCTCGGTCCCCATGAGCAAGTCCACAGGCAAGCGGAGGTGGCGCCCAAACATAAGGTAGGAAGGAGCATAACCGGTGACACTGTGCACACTGTTGTTGTATGCTTGTAACAGCGAGGGAAGACTCTCGGCCCATTGGCCCTGTTGCTCACTCTCTAGGGTCCCCAGCAACCCCAGCAAGGTCTGGTTGAATCTTTCGCACCCTCCGTTACCCTGAGGGTGGTATGAGGTCGTATGGGTCTTTCGGCACCCATAGAGGCGGCTCAGCTCTTGGATGACCCGGGACTCGAAATTTGAACCTTGGTCCGAGTGTAGGGTTTCTGGGCAGCCAAAAGGTTGTATCACTGCTCTCCAAAGGGCGTTGGCTGTGGTAACTGCCGTTTGATCGACGGTGGGGACGGCCCAGGCATATTTAGTAAATAGGTCCGTCATGACCAGAATATTCTGGAATCGGTCTGTTGGTCGACCCAGAGTCAGGAAATCTATCCCTACGATATGCAGAGGTGCTTTCGGTCGCAGGGGGACCAATGGGGCTCGGACCTCCTTCCTGCGTTTGAACAAGGTACACCGTGGGCAGCTCTGAACAAATTCCTCAACTTTCTTTTCCATCCTAGGCCAGTGGAAATACCTCCTCAGCAGGGACAGTGTCCTCTCTTGGCCCTGATGACCAGTATGGGTGTGATAGGCATTCAACAGCTCCGAAACTTGGCCCTCTGGTACAACAACTTGGTGTACAGTCTCCTGTGTGCGGGGATCCCGTCTTGAACGACAAATTACTCCTTCTCGGAGTTGCAGCCTCTTCCACTGTCTCAGAGCTGTCGTACCCCCACCGTCTGAGACCGTCTTTCCTCTGCCCTCGGCATGTTTCCCTGTCGGAGGTACAACAGGAGCTGACCCAAATCCGCATCTCTCTGCTGCAGCTCTCTCCACCGTCCGGGGTCCCACCCCCAACTAGATGGAACAGACTCCGGGGCCCCGGGAGCTTCCACCACGGCCACCAGCAGCTCATCTTCGGTACCAAGGGCACCGAGGGGTGCTTGATCGTCCCTCTGGGTGGCTGGGAGTCTGGACAGGGCATCTGCATTTACGTGCTCTCTGCCGGGACGGTATTTTAGCTGGTAATCATAATTTGCTAGCTGTGCCACCCAGCGCTGCTCCACTGCCCCCAATTTAGCGGATTGCAAGTGTACTAAGGGATTGTTGTCTGTAATCACCGTTACCTTGGCTCCCCACAAGTAGTCTTTAAACTTCTCCGTCATGGCCCACTTCATCGCCAGTAGTTCGATTTTAAAGGAGCTATAGTTTGCAGCGTTTCGTTCGGCGGGATGTAAACTTCGACTTGCGTAAGCTATCACTCTCTCCACTCCTTGATGCTCTTGGGCCAGCACGGCCCCCAATCCTGCATTGCTGGCGTCAGTGTACAGGAGAAACGGCTGGGTGAAATCTGCATAGGCTAAGATTGGGGCCTTCAGGAGTTCCTGTTTAAGGTTCTGGAAAGCGGTCTCACAGGTGGAATCCCAGTGTACTGAGGGGGAGCCTTTACCACGGGCACGTCCAGTGCCAGCCAAGAGTTGGTTCAGTGGCTTAGCAAGCCCAGAGAATCCCTTTATAAAGCGACGATAATATCCCACAAAGCCCAGGAACGACCGCACCTGTCTTACTGTCCGGGGTGGCTCCCATCCTTGGACCGCCGCCACCTTCTCTGGGTCAGGGGAGATCCCTACAGCACTGACGCGATGTCCCAAGAACTGCACCTCTTTCCGCAGTAACTGGCATTTTTCCGGCCTAAGCTTCAGCCCATATTTCTCCATGGCCCTGAAAACTCCTTCCAGATGATGCAGGTGAGTGTGGAAATCAGGGGAGAAGACGATCACATCGTCTAGGTAGACCAGCGTTGAGTCGACTAATTGTCCTCCTAGGCAGCGCTGCATCAGGCGTTGGAAAGTCGCAGGAGCGTTGCACAGACCGAACGGCATACGGTCCCATTCAAATAACCCAAACGGGGTGGTGAAAGCTGTCTTCTCCCTATCTCGGTCATCCACCTGCACCTGCCAGTATCCACTTGCCAGGTCCAATGTCGAGTACCATGCCGCTTGGGTAAGACTGGTGAGTGAGTCTTCAATCCGTGGCAACGGGAATGCATCTTTCTTCGTTACACTGTTAAGTTTGCGATAGTCGACGCAAAACCTCCAGGCTCCCGTCTTCTTCTGCACCAGAACGATGGGCGCAGCCCAAGGACTACTGCTTTCTCGGATGATTCCTCCCTCCAGCATACCTTTCAACAGGGTGCGGACCTCGGTATAAAGAGTGGGGGGCACCGGACGGTACCGCTCTCGACTAGGCGTCGCCTCACCAGTGGGTATTTGATGCTTCACCACCCCTGTGCAGCCATAGTCCTCTTCATGTTTTGAAAACACATGTTGCCACTTCCTCAAAAGCTCCTGAAGCTGTACCACTTGCTCCTCGTCCAGATTCTCACCCTTCAGGGACTCTCCCATCAGATGGGCCGGCATCCCTCCTCCAACCGAACCCAGTTCTACCTCAACAGGGCGGACGGCAACTTCCACCACCGCAGGGCTCACCTGTCTGAAGCAGACAGCTTGGTGCTCGTGCACCTGGGCAGGACGTACCGAGGAAACTCGGGCCAGACGTTGGTGTCGACGAAGGAGCACTGGGTAAGGATTTGTGTTCCGTACTTTTACTGAGACTCGCCCCCGATGGACAACCGCCAGTCCGTGAGCCACTTCAACTGGCTGACAATCTTCGTGAGGCTCTACCAGGACACAGGTGCCTGACCCACGGGGTCTTGCGGGTACTCGGACCCAAAGAACGGTCTCACTCTGAGCTGGGATGGACAGAGCATACCTACAGGCAACTCGACCGATGTCTTCCCTCTCTTCTATGTGATTAGCTGCGTGCACTCTTTTACAATCGGCCAGAATTCGGTCCCAGTCCTGTTTTGCCGGTGACGGAGACATCCGAGCCGGCGGCCCCCGAAACAATTCTTCCCAGCAATCCAGTATAACGTTCATCCCTAAAAGTGCTCGATGATTTCCCAAGCAATGATCTCGGACAATAACTACCCCTTTTTGTTGGACGGGGACCCCTCGGACAAGAAAGTCTACCACGATGTACCCCGTGTAGGGGATGTCCAAACCATTAGCCCCCCGTAGGGTCAGCCTGGAAGCTTCAGTTGCTTGGAGCCGATGATCTGCGAACAACTCCTGGGCCAGGCTCTCCGAGAATAGCGTAACTTGAGACCCTGTGTCAACCAAACAGTCTATCGTGACTCCATTAGCTTGAACCTCCACGGTAGGGCAATGTCCCACCCAGTCATCTCGTGCAACAGGAACAGAAAGAGGGTCACGCAAAGGGGTCCCGGCCACTTGACCCACAGTGGCCGGTGGAACTAAAAACCCCTTGAGAACCCCGACGAAGCCCACACTGGCGACTGATATGTCCAGGATCTCCACAATTTATACAAATGGGCCTTCCTTGGTCGTCCCACTGGAACCGGGGGCCCACAGGACGTAGGGGGCGGCGCAGAGGACCTCGCCCTTCCTCTGAATACGACCTCTCTCGCCCCACTGCTCCGCCTTCAACTCGCCCTCGACGAAGCTCACCCAGCAGGTTCCGGGATAATTCCGCCATCTGTCCCTTGACATCCTCCAACAGTTCGGCCCTCAGTTTCTGTTTCCAATCGCTCGGTTCGACAGGCGCAGGTCCACTGGCACTACTTGCTGCCACACAGACTGGTGTGCGAGTTACCTCTCCCTGGTCCAGTTCTAACGCCAAGGCCTCTTGTCGCAGAGCCTCAAAGGTCATAGTGGGGTCTCGTCGAAGCTGGAGTCGTATGCCCTGACGTACTGGCCCTTCACGCAGCCCCAAGACGAATTGATCTCGTAACAAGTCATCCCCTTCACCCAGTCCATGGTCCGGTCGCCCCTTCAGCCAGCCAAACTGCTCCCGCAACTTCAAGGAGTATGCCCGAAGTGTCTGCGTAGGCCCCTGTTTATAGTTAAAGAACTGGGCACGAAGAGTGGCCACTGGGGTGGAGTCTCCATATAATCCGAACAAGAAATCGAAGATAGTTTTTGCGGTAGCACGTGTGGCTTCCGATGCAGCCAGAACTTCCCTTTTGGCTTCTCCTTCCAGCGACCCCAACACAAACTGTACTCTCTGTGCTGCACTCAGTCCCTGTAGTCCAGCCAGATACTCCGTCTGCGCCTTCCAATCCTGTAAGCTTAACTCCGATCCCGGTCCTCCATAGCGCTGCGCCCAGGGAGCTCCCATGAAGATCGGCATGACTTGAGGACGAGCCGCAGGTGCCTCTTCGTCCGCCATCGCGTACCTGTGGCCGCTACAACTCACGGTGTGTACCCTGCCGACTACGCCACTTTTGATGTCACAGGTCGAGGGGAGGAACGCTCGGGTGACCAACCACCCCCCCTCTAACTGAGTCACCACCGTGAGGAGCCGACACCACAGGCACACAACAGAGGACCCGGAGACAGAGATAAATTTCAAAGGAGTAACAATCTTTATTAAGCCAAAGGTTTCTCACAGTTCAAGAGACTCTCGTCGATGTATGATGATGGAGCAGGGGGGTTGAAGCTTACTTCTCCCCAGCGGTGCTGCAGACTTCCAGACCCAAGAGAAAGTATGTCAGGTAAGGATTCTTCACGGTACAAAGTACTCTCGTTGGTGCACAGTAATGAAGCAGTGGATTAGAAGCTTACTCTTCCCCAGCGGTGCTGCAGACTTCCAGACTCAGACAGTAAGTATGGCGGGTAAGGATTCTTCACAGTACAGAGTACTCTCGTTGGTGCACGATAATAAAGCAGTGGATTAAAAGCTTACTTTTCCCCCAGCGGTGCTGCAGACTTCCAGACTCAGACAGTAAGTATGGCAGGTAAGGATTCTTCACAGTACAGAGTACTCTCGTTGGTGCACGATAATAAAGCAGTGGATTAAAAGCTTACTTTTCCCCCAGCGGTGCTGCAGACTTCCAGACTCAGACAGTAAGTATGGCAGGTAAGGATTCTTCACAGTACAGGTACTCTCGTTGGTGCACGATAATAAAGCAGTGGATTAAAACGCTTACTTTATCAGCGTGCTGTAGACTTCTGGCTCAAACAGTAAGTAGAACAGGTGAGGATATTCACAGTACACAGTACTCTCTCTTCAGTTCACAATAGGGAGCAGTGAGTCATAAGGTTACTTTACCAGTGGTGCTGTATGCTTCTGGGCTCAAACAGCAAGTAGAACAGGTGTGGATCTTCACAGTACAAAGTACTCTCTCCTCAGTTCACAGTAGGGCGACAGTGGGTTAAACGATTACTTTATCAGCGTTGCTGTATACTTCTGGGCTCAAACAGTAAGTAGAACAGGTGAGGATAGTCACAGTACACAGTACTCTCTCTTCAGTTCACAATAGGGGGACAGTGAGTCATAAAGTTACTTTACCAGTGGTGCTGTATGCTTCTGGGCTCAAACAGCAAGTAGAACAGGTGTGGATCTTCACAGTACAAAGTACTCTCTCCTCAGTTCACAGTAGGGCGACAGTGGGTTAAACGATTACTTTATCAGCGTTGCTGTATACTTCTGGGCTCAAACAGTAAGTAGAACAGGTGAGGATAGTCACAGTACACAGTACTCTCTCTTCAGTTCACAATAGGGAGACAGTGAGTCATAAGGTTACTTTACCAGTGGTGCTGTATGCTTCTGGGCTCAAACAGCAAGTAGAACAGGTGTGGATCTTCACAGTACAAAGTATTCTCTCCTCAGTTCACAGTAGGGCGACAGTGGGTTAAACGATTACTTTATCAGCGTTGCTGTATACTTCTGGGCTCAAACAGTAAGTAGAACAGGTGAGGATAGTCACAGTACACAGTACTCTCTCTTCAGTTCACAATAGGGAGACAGGGAGTCATAAGGTTACTTTACCAGTGGTGCTGTATGCTTCTAGGCTCAAACAGCAAGTAGAACAGGTGGGGATCTTCACAGTACAAAGTACTCTCTCTTCAGTTCACTGTATCACTCTGGGCTTCTGACGGGGGCAGATATAATAACCTTCCACGAACGTGTAAGCATGGATGGGGGCCACTTCTCAACAAAGACACAGCACACTTGTGTTCACTTCAATTCCACAGCAATAAATCAATGTGTATCAATAAGGCAAAAGCACTGCAATTCACTCACACGATAGGGTTGGACAGAGGCCCCACTCCGGCCGTTGCGCTCGTTTACAGGGTTTTCACTTTTAATTCCTCCTCATCACACTCTGAAACACATAGCTCCTCCAACAGTCAGATCCACATTCACTGTATCCTCTTCAAGTGGTTCAAATGTTCATAAGATGAAAACCATTCACTTATCTTTCCTCTCTCCTTCCACAGCACAGATCCAGCCCTAGCTCGGCCCAGCAGTCTTCCCACAAACGATCAATCTGACCCAGCAAACTCGAATGGGCGATCTCCACACTCCAACGATTTTTCCAAGGAAGCCTGTATCCAGCACTGCCCAGAGTCAACCCTTTGGAATCTTGACACACTGTACACCCACCAACCGCACTGCAAACACTCTCTAAATGCTCCTTTTATATTGTGGCTTATGAAACAGGAAGCCTGTGTGAGCGCCGCTCCTCTCTCTCTCACACCTGCAATGCATTAGCGCTAATCAGTACGGGCATGTTTCCATCACACCCGGAACCGTAGTGGAGTGTTGCACCCAATACGTTCCCCTAGGAAACTCAGGACTCTCAAGAAGGTTCCGTTTACTGAGCGATTTTGTCACCCGTGACAAAAGTAATTCAGTCAAATGCAGTAAATTACTTTCTTTCTGATGTTTGATTAACATTATTGACACACATGGCGACAGCAGCTTTATTAGCAGCGTCTGTCACTTTGAGACCTCAGAGTCGGATTCAAGTGCGCTGTGCAAAACCGTCTCAAGTTCACCACAGTCTATGGTTCACCTTGGTCTCAAAACCAGCATTTACAAAATAAATTCTCCCGCTGCTCACTGTGCCTGAGCAGTTTGAAATAATTTGTAATTTTGTATCCAAACCACAACGTTTAAAAACGCGTTTAAATGATAAACTTACATCATGATGGCGCAGCAAAATTTAAATATTTCTACCGGATATATTATCGCCAGTCCTTTAGGCGAATATAGAGTTTAATCAAACACAAAAAGCAAAATTATACATCCATCAAGTTAATATTCAAACTTACCGAAAGTTTGTGGGGTCGATGATGACGCTGTGTTTTAAAAATAGACTAGATTAGAATGAAGAGAAGAGTAAAGGCGATTTATTGGTTGATGTATAGCCTATTCTAATAAGGCGCAGGCAGCAATCATCTATAGGCCTACGTGCACCAGCAGGTCGGTCGTTCACAAGTTAAATATAGAATAAAGATATTTGTCATATCAAATTAAAACCTGACGTTTCAATTTACCATGGTTTGATTGACAGGTGGCCTGGCCAATCATAACGCCGAATACGCAACTTTGTCCGACAACAAAGCTGTCAGTCGGTGGACATGAACTTGAAAACGGTAATGTTTAAATTACTTAAATGACAATATTTGAAAGTTGAGACTTTGTTTCATATCAACAGTAAGCTGCTCTGAACTCTCTCTCGTTATCACTCGGTGTAACGTTAGTCTTTGCCCCGCAAAGTATTTTTCACTGCGTGAGTGCATGAGAACATGATGTGCGCTCGTGAGAGCCGCCTGGCTCGTGGCCCGTCACATAGTACCTAAAAAAGGCGGGTCTTTGCGAACGTCTCTATTAATGATAATGATTCCATGATAATGCATGGAATATAAGGCAAAGTGCAACTAAATAACAGGGATAATTTGTGGGGGACGTTGTGTGGTAAGGCTTTGGTAATTAGATGGCTTGCAGTATCTGCTCCACAGCCAATCACGGGCCCCCTCCTTGCTTGGGCCCCGGGGCTTAAGCCCCGCCTAGCCCTATGGTTAATGCGGCCGTGGACGTGATTATGGATGTCAAAAATTCTGCGTGTCACTGTGCGACGGGACAAGGAGACAGTTTCAAAGTTTTTAGCCATATCCTCGTCTCCAAATGATTTGGCCATTTCCATTGCACACCTCTTCACCATTTCACCATCTGACAAGGGCTTCTTGGCTTTAGCAAGCTCCAGCGCCACAGAGTAAGATGCCTTTAGCGCAGACTCCTGTGTAGATGTAAATCTTGTAAAAATACTCTGTTGTTGGTTGAGCTTTGCTTTCAGGTCGGTTATAATAGCGGCCCTAGCAGCTCCGGTGTACTTTCCATATTTTTCCCTGTGTGTTGTATTGTAATGGCGACTTAAGTTGAAATCTTTAAAAAACGGATCTTGTTTCCAAACACACTAAACACATAGGTCTACCTTTGAATTCTGTAAACAGATAGTCTGTTTCCCATCTCGCCTGAAAAGTACGATTTTCTTCGTTCAGTTTTCTTTTTTTCCCGCTCATGGTTCTCTTCATCGTTGACTGTAGTGACGCTGGTCAGAGTCGTCCGACTAAGCATGTTTTGTATGAAGGCGCCCTCTATCGGTATACTTTATCATTACATTTGGAATTGGTTCAGATGCGCAATCCGTTCTCACGCGATAAAACCTGTGAAACCAACATTTCCATGGTATTTGAAAATTCACCCGCGGGCCGCACTGAGTGAGGAGGCGGGCCACATGCGGCCCGCCAGTTGCCCATCCCTGCCATAGACTTATACGACGCTGGCGCTTCCTCCAACTCCCTCATCTCTCCCACTTGCCATTTCTCCGCGTGCCGTGACCTGCAGCGCTCCATACTCCACTTTTACTGGCTTGTTTATTAACTTGAACCGGCGCTGCACAGAGCGATCGGTAATGACATCAAATACCGCGAAAGTGATGAATGCATACGGAGCCGACTCGCGCTAGATTGATGTTATAGACCTTATTCAGAGCCGCGCCATGACAGGTATGAAAGTGAGGCTGTGAGGGATAGACTTACCATGTTTCCAATGGCATCCGCTGTAAAAAGCTGAATAAAGCTCCTAGATTACTTACAATTTTCCACAGCTTACATTGTCGGGAGTTTTTTGTCAACTGAAATGTCTTGGAAAGATATTTTTCCAGTGTTTCATAAGCAGAACAATCCGAAAACACGTTAAATAACAGTACAGCCCATTGAAGAGATGCATGTCTATCCCTCAAGCCTCGCTTTCATTCTCATTAAAAATCAAAGATGGCGCTGCCGTGAATAAGGCGTATTCACCTATCGCTCTGTGCAGCGCCGGTCCAAGTCGAACAAGTTTATGTCGCACGAAAAGAAAACACATGCACGTCACAT